GTGAACAATGGAAGTGGTTAAGTAACAATTAAAGTGTTAAGAGAAAACGACGTGCAATATTTACAGGTGCAGATGTTGTTTTTTCGTTTTTGCGGAAATTCGCACATACTTTTAGACCTATCTAAAAATTCTCTAATTAATCTGAAAACGGGGCAACCTATTTCTAACGAGGCATTCTGTGGAAACTGGTAAGTTTGGCTATAATGAAATTTTAATCTTAATCTTAAATGTTTTCGAATAGTCGAGGACTGTTGTGTGAGTAGGGGAATGGCTTTTGGAGATGTGTGACGCAGTTGATTTTTCATTAGTAAAAATGTACTAATCATAGAAAAAAATAGAAAGTCAAAAGTGAATAGTGAAGTGTAAAAAGTAAAAATATAAGAAAACAATGCCAAAGCGTAAAAAAGAATTTTTGCAGTCTCGAATCATATCGCAAAGGCAAAAAATGGCGCGGAGAAATGAAACCACGGAAGGAATAAAAGTACATCTAACATTGCTAGGAAAAAATTATCAACGAAACAGAAATAATCAAGCAGAAGAGCAACTTGAAAATTATAGGTAAACACATCGAATCAAAAAAATATTATGTAGAAAAAGAGAAACAGTCTTATATGTATATAAGATAACTATATCACATATAAATGTACGAACAAATAAACATCCAGAGAAGCGGGTACTTGCAGCTATATATCTAATAAAATTAAACGAAGAAAGTGTTGCTGCACAACATGAAGTTTTCCCAGTAAATTCTAACTTTCTTATGGATTATTGTAAGAATTGTGTTAGCCAGATGAACAAAGGATCAAATTGTGGAGATTGAAAATAGGAAGAATTATGGAAAGAGTTTAAGGTAAAATGTTAAAAGTATTCTAGTTTCTGGTTGATGTGCAAACATGGCAGTTACTGAATAATAATTGCATTTTGAAAGTGGTAGAAGAGTTTATTAAAAACTTCAGGAAAGAGATTGCCATAAGGAAAGGAACTTTAGAATGCTGAGGTACCAGCCGCAATGAAACAAAGAAAGAGACAAAGTAACGATGAAATTTGATATGAAGCTCTGAAAATAAATAAACGTATATTTGGCAGATAAAATGAGTAAAACGCGGTGGCTATTACAAAAGTAAAGTCTTTAGAAGATAATTATAAAAATTTCTAAGAATAAAGGTGGTAACAGGGAGTAGATGAAAATTGCTAACGCCGGAAATAAAGCATCAAAAGATTTTACCTCTATTAAGCTGATTGAAGATGATAAAAATGTAGTATTAAAAATTATGAAAAGGGTCAAAAAAGATGGAAAGAATATTTAAGAAAATTATTGAGTAAAGAATACCCCAGAACTTTATACAAGACAAGCTGTTACCCGCGACTTTTACCGTGGAGGTTTTGCAAGCAAACCCCATTAATTTTCAGAATATCAACAACCATAGTAATTGTTATATAACACCTACCGCTGAAAATGATTAGAATTGCTTAAAATCAAACAAACTATATTTAATTTCTTCAATTTCATGAAACGTTTTCAATCGTTTTATAATCGAACCAATATGCAATAACAAAAAAGAAATTTAAAACAGTTCGAACATTTGGTTTAAAAATCGAAATATATAAAAATATTTATAACAATGTCTGAAATGTTATCAATTTAATAAAATCAAGTACTTAATAAAGACTAAACGCAGTTTAAAAATTCATACAAAAATTCGCATCTAAAATAGGACTTAAGAATTAAGGCTTAATCAGAATCTGTTCTTCTGGTTAAGCATTCCTCCCCTTGCGAAGAATTTCGAAAAATCCCTTCTTACTGTGCATTTCCTTGGTGTGCCCTATTGAAATGCAGTTAAAAACAGAAAATCACATCTAAAATAGTACAGTAAATGCCGTTTTTCCAGTTAAGACTTAATGCTGTACCTCTACCCCCATCGGGAAAATATTTTTTTTAGTGTGAATTCCTATGGCATACACTAACTCTGTACCAAATTTCACCGTTCTAGGTTCAGCAATTTGCCCTGGGCAATGATGAATCAATCAGTCAATCAATCAATTAGTCTATCAATCAGGACAAGTAATTTTATTTATTTAATTGGAAAATCAAATGAAAAAGTTGTGCAAGATATTAACAGAGAAAAAGTGGAAAATGTACTTAGGAAAATGAAAATGAGTAAAACAGTAGGCACTGATCGGTTTTCCATTGAGGCTTGGAGAGGTTTGTGTAAAAAGGGAATTAATATCTTCTGGGACTTTATGAAGAAACGCGGGAAAAGATCCCAGATGAATATAGAAAGAGTATTCTTGTGCCTGTTTTTGAAGGTAATAGGATTTTAGAAATTACAGAGGTATAAAGTTAGTTATCCATACTATAAAGAATTAGGAGAAAATTGTAGAAGAAAGGATTAGACAGAAATTTGAGATTGGAGATGGACAATTTTGCTTTTTTCTGGAAGAAGTATGACTGATGCCATTTTTGGTCTAGAACACGTGATGGAAAGGCGCAGGAAATGCACAAAAAAGTGAACATGATGTTTAAAAAAATATGTTAGGCTTAACAAGGAAATGTACAAGGGAGCAGTGTCCCAAGTTAAGATTAGTGTTGGCACTACAAAAATGTTCTGTGTTAATGTTGGTTTACATCAGGGATTGGCCATTAGCCCTTATTTGTTTCATCTGATAATAGACGTGTTAATCTTTGGCATGAAGTTTAAGGCTTTATAAAGTATGCTGTTTGTGGATGATATTGTGCTGTATGAACTATCCCGAACCAAGGCTGACGAAATCCTGAAAGATTAGAAAAATGTAAAAAGAAGAAAAAAAAAAAACATACAGATTAACAAAACTAAAACAGCTTATTTTACTCTGAATGGTATAATGTTAAAATCTAAAATGTGCCGCTCTAATGTCTACAGCGTTTTAGGCTTATATTCCTTAGTGTTATTTTTGTTTTATTACCAATTTATTTTACTGTGTTGTTTGGCCTTGTCTTTGTCCTTATTTATGACGATGTGACTACGACGAATTAAATAAATTATATACTCATGAAAATTTTAGTAAAATTGTGTAATTAATAAACATTTCATTTCGTAATTCATTTACGAAAGCCATACTTTTTTTTAATTATGTTATATTCCCTAATTTAAATATATATTTATTCCAGCATATTTATAAATATTATTTTCAATGCCTATACAGTAGAGCATCGTTTATCTGAATCAATTGGGGTCTGGGGTTGTTCGGATAACTTATTTTTCGGATAACCGATTATGTACGAAAACATATATTAACCTATCCCATGTTGACATTTTTTTTCTCTTGCGTGTCGCTTCGCATTAAATTTTTGTCGATGTTAAGCCAAATGTAAACTTTTTAAAATAATAATCGTGGTTATTGTATCGTTAATAATTGTTTTACTTTATTTTTACAAATAAAATAGATATATTGAAAAATATAAAAACAAAAAAAATTATACTTTAGAAGTTGATCCAGTGTCAAAAATGTTCGATTCAGCACCACACAGTCCTCAGAAAAACACCATACAAAAGTGCCATGCTGCCAGCTAAAACACACACATCAAGAAAAAAACATTGGAGTAGTCCAAGATATAGCCAAAAATTGCAGCGCCACAGCACTAGCGAAAATTTAAATTTGACGACTGGAATTCTTTCGGATAACCGACGTTTTGATTAATCGAATTTTGGATAAACGACGTATCTACTGTATGTATATTATCGTTTTAAAAGTATTGGTTTGATTTACTAATAGTAAAATTCGTTTATCTTTTAGATTATGTACATATTGTGAAAAAAAAATGTAAAAATTACATAATCTGGTTAAATTCCAGATACGTATACCATCATGGCAGCACTTCCTGTTTTGCTACTAATCTCGCTCCCGACGCCTTAGCTGTTTGGATTCGACGAGTTGGTTTTGTCTTGCATAGTTTGAATTTCGCAAAAATGGATTTTGCCGATTAACGTCAAAAGATTTTTTTTGTCGCTTGAAATATCAGAATATCCGGAGTTAAGTTTCAATGTTAGGATGCCTTCCTATACAAAATTCGCTGTTAAGATGGGTTTACAACCGGTTGAATCCAAGTGTGGCAAGTGTGATAGCGTTCGTAAAATAAGTTACAGAGAAGACACTAGTTCAGTTTATTTTTGATGTCGCAAGTGCAACGTTAATATTTCGGTGTTTCGAAGGTACTTTCGAAAGAAAATTTGGTAAGATATCGTGAGGAACGATATTCGCTTTTATCTGGCACCTCTTTTACATTGACATTTCTGCGAAGTCACACTACCAATGTTGGCTGGGCTAATTTCGTTTGGCACGCGATGATGGTCTCTCTTTTTAATTTGACGAGTTTGGAAATTGGAGGCCCGGAAAAACTGTGGAAATAGACGAGACGGTCGTAAGCAAGCGTAAATATGAAAGAGGAAGAACGCTGAAAGGGTCTAAGTGGGTGGTCGGCAGAATCTGTAGAAAAGACAAGAACCGTTTTTTGTGTTATGTAAACGATAGCTCCAAAGCCAGTCTAAATTAGATCGTTAGCAAGTTCGTCCGGTTCGGATCTACAATTTGAACAAAAGGAGAGGAAGAGCATCGCGACGGTGGAAAGAAGCGTGCTAGAGTAACCAAATGACTGACGACGACAGTGAGTAAAAATGCGGTTTTTTTTTTTTGTTTATAATTTGTTTAGAGCGCGATCTCTTGTTTGTGTTTTTCCCTTTTTCACGGCGGCTTCGCCGCCGCCGCCGTCTTTCGTTTCCGTGTGCATGCATCGTCACGTGACAACACTCGTCTTCAAACAGCCAAGGTGTCGGGAGCTAGGCTAGTAGCAAAACAGGAAGTGCCGCCATGACAGTATACGTATCTGGAATTTAACTTATAATTTAAACATTTTTATATTAGTTTCAGAGAAATAATTTAACTAAATACAAAGTATAACCCATGAAATTAAAAACAAAACAGGTTAATTATTTTGCATATATTTAATTGTAACGTTTAAATAGTTATTTTGTAGTGAAGCCAATAGAAAGTATCTTAGGATATAAAGATGAAAATGGTAAGTGGCTGGGAAGTACGGGACAAGTGGCAAACCAGGTGAGTAAACATAAAATTTAAGTGTTTAAAATCAGTTAATGTGTAAAAAGCTAATTTTAAAATAAAAAATCAAAAACTAATAAACAGATTATTTGTCTAAGTCAAAAAATGAGCCCTTATTTATTAATGATTTTTGATAGTCCAAGCAAATAGCATTTTCCTTAAATTTCTTTTCAAATTTTAGCACAGAAATATGCCAATATTACTATATTTTTAACATGCTTCTCACATGTAACCTTATGAACAGTTGTTACAATGGTAGAAATATATTTTTTAAAAGATAATTATAGTGAAAATTTTTCCAAAAAAATTTTTAGAGGAATATTCCACCTTTATATCTATTGAGAAAATGCGTTGATAATTTAGTATTTCCGTAATTTTTCTTGGTGAAGAATTGTTGAAAAATTTGATTAGTAGTAGTTTGGGCCCTACTGATCACGAAATTAATTTTTCGATCACAAATCTGAATTTTATTTTAAACTAAGGTTGTATTAATTATTAAATGTTTTTATAAATTTCAATTAAAGTTATTTTATTTTAGCAATAAGGGAAGTTTAATGTATTCTTTTTAATTATTATAAAATTAATTCTCAATAATTTCAGATATAAAATCTCTCAGATAAATTAAGATTATTTCATATTTTCATAAAATATCTTGTAACAATAAGGTTGTGTTAATTATTTAATGTTTTAATATTCGACAAAATTAAAACATGACAGTTGTATGAAATAATATAACACACAAAAAAAATTATTTTTTGAAATTTTTTTTATTTTATCTAAGCTTATCTAGTTTTCTCATTCACTTTTTCTAGAATATGACACATTTCTATATGGATATCATAATAGAATACATTATTATTCAAATTGAATACATATATTAGCAGATACGAAAGAATTTATGACATTTCATATTCATATTCATTTCATTATTCATAATAATAACATTTTAATATATGGATTTCATAACACATTATTCAAATTGATTACATATGTAAATGGATAATATTATTTAAATTCAGTACATATATTAAAAGATACAAATTTATTTATTNAAATTATTTATTACATTTCATACAGTCACATCTTGTAAAATATTTGTACTATATCGGTAATGATATTTTATCATTTATTACAAAAAATTTACAGTTATATGTTTTATTGTTAGACAGTTTTAATGATGCTGATTTATTACTTGCTTGTTTTAAACACGGATAAGTTTTATTACCAACAATATGTCTTACATAAGTATGTTTTCGTTTGCATACTATTAAAACTCCGTATTGTGAAGAAGATGATGATGATATCTAAAAATCTGCAAGAATCAAAAGTAGAGGCTGTAATGACCAAACGATAACACATCTATTCTATTATCTAGAAAGAATTTTTTATCATAAAATGGAGAAAGCGAAATTTTGTTTTGCAAGTATGTTGTTACTACATGATTTTTGCTTTTAATCCCATATTGCTGATGTCTTAATAGCTCTGTGCTGAATAAAACTTTTTTACATTTATCATTATTAAGTGTTTTTATAACAGATTTTTTAATACCCTTAGCAGTTTTTTTTATTTTGTTTATCAAAAATATAAGAATACATCCTTGGTTTTAACGAACAAAACTCAATTACTGGTTTTGACAGTGTCTCATCTTTAAAATATCTTAATTTATTTTTGTTCATTTCATTATATAATTTGCGAGTTTTAGGATAGTTACTAATATCAAAAATATCTGGAAACGATTTAAAATCCTCAAAAATATCACTAGTATAAATTTAAAGTGTTAATGACTCTGTGTCAGTATATAATAAATGTATATTTTCACTATATCTGTTTTTAAATATTTTATAAAATGTTTCAAACATATGTAATTTGCTTAATTCTAATGCACAAAACCTATATAAATAGGTTTGTCTTAACATAAATTAGGTTTCTTCTTTAAAAATTGTGAGATTATCGTTTATAATTTGAAATTGTTCTACAGATGGTTTAGATAGATATGAGCAATGTTGATTTAATGTTGTAGCTGCTTTTAAGTTAATACGCTTTCTTACATTTTGACATGTTTTTTCGAAAAAAACTATTATTCATTAATTTAAAAAATGATTTGTCAAAATTGTTAGTCGATTCTTGTCTTTTTTTTATTATTGAATGATATGTATTTTTTAAGCCATGCACTTTGACAAAATGCTAGTACTCTATGAATTTTAGTTACTATCAAACATTCATCTAGATAAAATTTAAATTTCTATAATGAATTACATAATTTTTTATCAAAAAGAGTGGAAACCGATTTTTTATTAGTATTAGTATATTTTAAATTTAGTTTACCTTATACTGTTTTTTGATAATTAGATAATAAATTATACAGGATATTAGTATGGTCAGTAGCAAGTGGTAAATCATTATGTCTATCATGAATACTTTCTGGATATTTTAGATCCACTTCTAAGATATATCCAATGTTATTTTCATCTGATATATTACAAATGTCTAAAGCATATATTTCATCTTTGGACAACCATCTAAAATAGTGAAATCTGAGTAGTCTCTGTGAGTAATAATTAAATTGATACTCTGTGAGTAATAATTAAATTGAATTGTTAAAATTTATAACAAAAATAATCTTTAATTTTGGTGAGAAATTTAAGTTTCTCCAAACGAGGGAAACTGATAAAAAGTCACTTCCTTCAATGGAAATTGAAACATTCTTTTTTCACCCTTATCTACAAAAAATCTTAGCACGCTTGGAATAGTAAACCCCTCGATACAGCCCCTTTTCCTGTTCCTCTAAGCTGATTGGAAAAATATCTTGAGAAAGAGAAAGAGCTTTACATGATTCAGGGAGTACGTCGAGGAATCTTATAGAAGACTGACGTATTCCATACCATCTTCTGAAGGTAAACGCCCATATTAGACTCTCATGTTTCATTTAAATCAGTAATTTGAGAAGCAATATATAAATATGTGCCAATTGAGTCATACTCAAGAAAGAACTGATGTGTAAATTATACAGGACAGAAGAAGAGAAATAGACATAGAGGTAATATGATTATAGTAGAAAATATGAGCTTTCTCTCTCGAAACGTTTATTCTAATTATTCCCTTTTTGTATAATTTTGTTTATTTTGCTCATTAAATTTTTGTTTTGTAATTGTTAAAGAAATGTCTCCTCATATCTGAATCAAAACGAAAGGTTCAGCTCCATATCATCTCAACATGCGTGTTAATCTGCATATCCTGAAATTATTAACTGGTGTCAGGAATCCTGACATGAGGAAAAGGTGATTATGCAATCATCCAATTTTGCTTTAAATTAACATATTAGCTAAAGCCCTCCACCCTCGATTTTCCTTGAATAGAAAAACTCATCCTTTTTTGACAAACAGAGGGCTATTCTCAAGTAATAGCTGCTGATTAAGTGATACTAAAGTCATAGTTATTCGGTACCCCGGGCTAGCCCCTCACAAAATTATTTACAGGTAAATATGCACTCATTACAAATCCATAAAGATTATTTGCATTTATAGACAGAATATAGGGGAGATCGGGGCAACTTCGGCATGCGGGGCAAGTTTGTCAAGCGCTTTTTTTAAAAAAACAAATTAAAAGGAGACTTTGGTTATAGGTTAGGCAGTTGAGTTTTATTGGTGGCTTGTTGAGTGTAGTGTTTTTATGTTCTCCAACAAGCGTAGTTGAATTATCAAGCAAATTTTCATTTTCGTTCAATTCCATATAATATTTTTTTTCCATTTATATTGAATTGGCAGGTTTTGTTATAATTCCATGATAACGAAAGTTACTTTTCCTGTTAGAAGGATGTAACTTCAACTTATTCACGTGGCCAGATCGTGGCTTGGCATTCTGTTCTCAGGGTTGTACTTAATGTTTCGAAATCATGACTAGCGGGGTAAGATCGGCAACATAAAGCCACATTAGAAGCAAAGGATAAAAATCAAACAGATGATAAATGAAAACATGTTTGCATTTGTTATTCATGTATATATGTCTTTGAACTTGCATTTCGTTGTAATAATATTAAATGGGTGTTGGATTTGTATTTCTTTGTTTTAATAGTGAATTCCAATTTATACATTGTTAATAACATAATTTTATATACGTGCCTATCTTGCCCCATTACTGTTGCCCCTATACCAGGGGCAACTTTAATAAAAATAATTAAAATAATTACAACTTTACAAGAAGAGAGAAGTTGCCGATCTTGCCCCTATACCCGGGGCAACTTCGGCAATTTCCCTCTTCTTGTAAACTTGTAATTATTTTAATTATTTTTATTTCCAAACTGATTTTAACCAGTTCTATAGTAAGAAAACATTCCAATAGACAATATGCAAAGCTTTTTTTCAGCTTACAGCAGTATTTATTACACAAAATTTAAGTAAAGCTTAACATGCTGATCTTGCCCCGGTTTCCCCTACAGATTGGGTGAAATAAAGAGCTTTTATGAAAATTAAATTTGGTGGTTGCTTCTTTTCCTTTTGGGGTAGATAGTTTTTGATATTTATGATTAGAACAATATTTGAGATGGTTATTTAAAGTACATTCTTTTTTAAAACCATTTAAACATCTTTTGCAAAATTTTCTCGCTGAAGATTTGTGTGACATTGGTTTATTAAATTTTCTAATTAATAAATAATGAGATTTATATAATAACAAATTTATTTTTTTTTCAAATTGAAGTTTGCTTATATATATCAGATAAATTAGTTTGTTTTCATATCTTTATATATGAATACTTAAACAATTATTTTTTTGAATGTAGGAATATTTTTAACACTTACTGGAAATTTTAAACTATTTATATTTAAATATTTTAAATATCTTCTATACAATATATAGAATTTTGTTGGTATTAATTTTTGGATACATATTAGCAATTATACAATATAAAAACACTGATTATCAATCAATTTTTTTCCGAGGGAAATTTTCCCTTTTTGAGAGGGAATAAAATTTCACAGTAACGATTATTATTTCGGTTTACATGAATAATATACATATTGTAAGTAAGTGTATTAATTATAACATGATATGGTCTAGCAAGACCGCTTAAATAACAATAACATTTAGTGAATTTAAGCAATACAAACCCAAAATAACCTTATGATACATTAATAATGGTTTAAAACAATAATGTAAATCAAATAATTAAATATTACAAAGTAATTTTTCAGTGAATTTGACAAAAAGATTATAAATTCTATAAGCATTTTTTTCTGTTGATATTTTTTAAGTTATTTTTGAAGTCTAGAAATGAACCACCTTTACATATATTTATTATATCGTATTCTTTACGCAGATAATTTAGAGATTGGCAATTTTGCAAAAGATGGAGTACAGGAAAATCTTCAGATTGACA